GTCCACTTCCTGAGATGTACGACTCGTAGAGGTGTGAGTTGGAAACCATTTTATTTGTTATGAGATTCCCTACATTTGTCATATTGGATGTCTCGATAACTTCTCAATAGTTTTGGAGATCTTTCAATTGACAGTGGGACATTGTAGCGACGGCGAGAGCACCTCAACTCAAGAGTGCATTCGTATTGCATGTAATTGTACATTATACACATATCACTATTCCCTTGGTGCGCAGTGGTCGCGTGCGCAGCTTCCGTTGCATTTTCCGTTGCATGAGGCATTGCTCCGCTCCGAAACTTCAATAACAAGAGTTAATCATTGATATTTAGCGAGTATGTAACCATCGAGGCTCATTTCATTGGCTATTCTCCGTTGCAATTGACATTTTCTGCAATAAAAAAAAGGCGTAATCTCATTTTTTGAAGAACTAGCAATTGCAGAGACTCGCCACTCGACTATCTTCATGTCAACAGAGGAGAGTTTCTTTTGTTTATATTGATATTAAGAGTGACTCTTGACCCTGCGAGTGGTGGCGTACCGGTTGGACATGTGACCCAGCCCGGAGATCAGGGTCGTTAGCTATTTTTTTTCTCGGTGGGTGGGCCATTTCCCGGGGTTCCACCGGAGGATGATGGTCTCTACACACACCACAACTACCATAAAGCACAAGTGTGTCGGTACATTGTGAGAGCCGTTCCTCCAGCTTTTCTACACGTAAAGTTCCGGAAGTGGCGATAAAGAGTCAACTGGCGGGGTATCTTCATGCCTGAACAGAATAGAACCGGAAAACAGCGTGATTAGTTACTAATGGAAATTGTTATTTCATCGGGAAAAATTATTTTTTCGATGCTATTCCAAACCAGACGAAATAAAAAAACGCCTAAAAGCCATTCCATTTGCCTTTTATCAAAAAATATTTACAGGTCTTGACCCAGTGTTCCCCGAAAAATACTCCTCAAATTGAATGAATCCCAAGGGGAATTGAATCAATGGAACGAGAAACAGCTACATTTGTGCTTCTTTTTCCCTCGGTCAGAATCAATTTCCTCTTTCCATTTTCCGCCCAAATTACTTTTATGACACAGGGGAATTTTTTGGAAATTTACTGGACCGCAGACATTTGCGGAAATAACGAAATATAGCTACGCTAGATTATGTATTTTTATATGCATTCCATTTTCTTTTGATGACTGGAACAAAAACTAAAATAAGTAAATGACTAATATTAATATAATGTTAATATTTTAATAAATTAACTTTCAATAATAACAATAATGATAATAATGAATTGATAACTAATTATCATGGAATTACTAATATGGATATAACTAATCAATCTAGAATTTAATGACTATTTTTGGTTTTTATGAATTTCTAGAGAGTAATCAAACTGAAATGTTCGGTGAAGAAATGTTCTGGAATGTCAGTGGAAGTGCAATAATACGAGAAAAATTTTCGGAATTTGGCGCGGCAAAAGAATTTTTTAACAGTGTAAATTTAGGTGGTAAAAAATTTCAAGTTTTTTTTACATTTCTTTTATGTTACGTGGGTGAAGCCTGTGACGTGGTGCGCACCTTATGCTCGTTTCATCTGCTGCATGAATGATCCCACGATCGTGACCTACACATTATCCCGGGCATTTCTTCATCGTGAACAATCTATATTTTCTATCATCATAATCGCATATTTATAGACTTAGCTATTGTACACGTATTGTTGGGTGTTCACAGGGTTTTAGGAGAGAATAGACGGTGACCGGGAGATTCTTTAGAAAAATTCTAGAAAATTTGCACTTTGTCGGAATTTCTGGAATTCATGGAATTCTTTTTGCTCAAAAATCGAAAATTTCATGATTTTTCCTTTTAAATCATCTCAAAATTACTAAAATCCGTGAATTTTCAATTCCACGATTCCGTAAAGATCTGGAAAACCCCGGATCATTCAGAGAACAAAAGTAAACACATGCCTTTCTTTTGGATTTTTCCGAGACAGCTTTTTAACGAATATTGTGGAACTGAAGGAAGATAGTGATATTTCCAGGGATACCTTTTGGACAGCCCTCTTACGCTATAAAAAATGAACTAATGAAAATATGGCTATCTTCCTTCAATGCCGAGGTATCGACTAAAAACAAGCCACGAAAAAAAAATCTACAACCTACAACCTAAAGAACCTAGTTTTCATATCACTGCACTGAGAAAAAAACTACGTTTGTCACATTTTCATTCATTCGAGAGAACCGCATTTATAATAAAATATAGAATATAAGTATCTTCCCCATGAATATATAAATATATGATTATAAATTTTTTCTAAATTTAGTATTTCCTTCAGAAAACAATTCCGGGTGATTGCGCACTTTGCATAATTAATATTATAAATGAATGTGTTGAATTGTGGTGAAATGTAGTATTTTGGTTTTGTCAGGCTAGTGTTGTTTGATTTTCGCCGAAATTCTTTTAAATGACGAGTCCTGAAATTTCTGGAATTTTGTACGTTAAGTTAAGAGAGAAAATTTGTGGCGGCGAATGCAGCGATTTAGCGAGTTCCCTCTAAAAAAAGCATTTGAAAGATGAACAGTTGGGTGAAAATGGCTTTGTGAGCAAACCTAGAGGCCCCCTAGACGATTAAATCAGCTCCAGCGAGCAAATCGATATTTCAAGGTTCGCCAGTCGATTCTGCTCCACTCGTTGACTCTATATCCCATCCTCAATGTGTTGTAACACCAGCGGAATGCGTCTGTCGAGTATTTTTGTCATCGAATTGAAAGGGGGAATGGATCAGGGGGATGAGAAAAATAGTTTTCGGCTGATCCACATATAGGTTTGAAAAACACACTCCTATAGGGTTTTTTAAATTTATTTTTACGGGGCAGACCTTCGATACTAAATCAATACTGTCTTCCGCACCTACAAAAATCCATATTTGACATATATTATTAATTACAATCCGTCAATAAAGCCCATTACTTTCCCTCATTTAAGAATAATTGCACAATAACACACCTTCCACCTTGAAATAATATAGCAAATCTAGTTTTTCTAACTCAAAAATATACAAAACTATAGAATGTCGAACACTAGGATAAGTTCATTTTTTCAATGCGAGCCTTTAGATAATATCTCGTAATTGAAGGCGGATAACAATATTTCTGGAGAGCCATAAAAAAGGTGTACATGAAAATTTTCCAGTTCTCGTTCAATTCCAGGATATTCACTGAATAATGGCCTCGAAAAAAAGGGACTTAGCCTAGTTCATCACTTCCCAACGGAAATATCGCATAACTATCACTTGGAAAAATCGATTGATGTTATAAAACAATTGATCAATTTTGTAAAATCGAGGAGATGCAGTGGAACTATTTAGTAAATACTCAAGCATGCATTTTTCTCATTTTTTCACGATGACACATGGAGGAAAATGTAAAAATGTCCTCGAGGCTCTCATGAATATATCTGAAAGTCATTGTGTATTCGAGGCAGACAACTTTTTATTTTGTGCAACACATAAAATTCATGATAGAAGCCGAGATTTAGCTGCGGTCGTGGGGAAATACTACTCTACGTTTATATTAGAAGGACCGCGACGAGAGTATTACAGTCGCTCGAGAGCCTACAATCCTCCAGTGCTCTAGTTTTTTTTTTAGAATGAGGGTTTCCCCGTTTTTTTTTCAGCCAAAGCCTACGACAATTTACAATTTGTCCGGACTCCCGATTGCATCGAGTTCCGGATTTTATTCTCTTTCCCTTTGTCTCCGGGAATAGGAAGCATCGATACCCGTAAAATCCTTGAGTTTCAAGGAATATAATTCCTGCCAAGCAATAAATTTCCCTTAACTTATAAATTTCTGGTGTAAAAATTCCCGGGGAATTCAGTAAAAATGTGGAATGCTGGAAATTTTCAGACTTCAATTTTAAATGTTAACGGACAATTTTGAAAAGTGCCTTTGATTCAGGCGAATCCTTCCTCCTTTTGTAATAGAGTTTATAAATAAATTGCATTCATCACGAATCACTGTGTGGGCGAAAATATGTGCAACTGTGTTATTGAACCTGAAAATCTGCTGGCAAGATATATTTAGAATCTCCATTTTCCAGTTTGTTCGCACTCTCGACTGAAAAAGGTTGAGTCCTCACCCTCCGAATGCCCATCACCTTTTCTTCTGGAACTGGAAAGATAAATGTCCGAGATAATTAATCATGAAAAGGCAAAAACAAGGTGCAAAAGGCTCTTCTTTGCCCGGAACAATTAATTACCCGCAGATCCCAGAGCGTTAATTAGCGGACATCTAAAGCTGAGGAACGAATGGAGAACTTTTCCAGTATCACCTCCTGCAACTGCAATTGTTGGCTTTTCCATGTAGATATCTCCAGGGACTTATCACGCTGGACAAGGGCTAGACTTTACGGAACATTCATGGAATATCTGGAATTCCTGGACTGATCTTTCGACATTCCGATGTCAAGGGGATGGAGAGTTGAGGGATTATGCGAGATTACGTTATCGGGAAATGGTCCGAGAGATGACCTCATTGAGATTTCCCCGCTAAAACATGAAGCACTTGCTGTTTATTCTGATAAAATGAAGAATAATCCATCAAAAACACAATATATACGATACATTTCTCTTCCTTAAACAAGAAAATAAAGAAAAAACGGTCTGATTCAAGTCTTCACTTGAACTTCATTCAGGTTAATATCAAGTCGATCCTTTGAATATCTCGTCATAATCTGAATTTAATCCACACAATTGACCGGATTCAATCTGATTTTCGAGTGATAATTCAGACTGACTTTAAACTTGATTCAGGATGGCTTTCTTCGGCTACCTCAGTGCTGGACTGTGTATTTTTTAATTCGAAATAAATAACTCATGATTACTCATAAATGTTAATGCAATCATATCCTTACGTAGTGCGCATAAACAGAAATTGCATTTCATCTAAATGCTAATGAATCAGAGCATAAATTACAAAGTTTGTTTATATTTTCTGGTTGCAGGGGTTTTGGAAAGCAGGGATATCAGTGCCAAGGTATGTTCACCCACCGTCGATCCTGAAAAAAAACCCGGTTGATTGAGAAGAGCTAATGATCATGAGGCCGTAATCATTGTGAAGATGATAGTGTCATTAGAGCACTCGTCCTCTAATAGGTAACACGTAATCCAGGTTTATTGACTAGGTTATATGCCTGTTTCAGTCTGTAGTTTCGTCGTTCACAAACGATGCCACGAGTACGTCACCTTCACGTGTCCTGGGGCAGACAAGGGCGCCGATTCAGACGTAAGTTATAAAGTTACAAATGACTCTGATCTTCTAATGTTACCTTTTCCAAGCGCCCATTAAGGGCTATTTCTCCACAATCATCAGCTTTCAACACTCGTTTGTTCTTCTTGTTATGGTGAAATTGAAGGGAACGCGAGGCGAACTGCGTGGGATTAACTAATACTGAATCAAAGATGATTTTAATGATTTAAGGATTATTGTTTCCTATTAGCTCTGTTCGTTAGTTACGGAAAATACTTGATGAGAATTATATGAGTCCAATTGCGGGAGTGCAATGTCATTTGGTATGACTTATTGATATTGTGAGTCGAAATTGTTTGACTCATGGGATTTGATTTAAATAAATTGACTTAGTGGTACCAATTGGCTTTAACGTTTCTCTCTCAGATCTGATAAAGTTAAAGTAATAATATTGG